TTACTGCAGCTTGTGAATGAAGCTTGCTCCTGTGTTACAGAGCCCTGTAGGCTTGAGCTACCACTTCTAGGTGCTGCACTTACAAGGGGACCTTCCCCACCTAGAGAGAACTTGGCTAAAAGTGGCATCAGGCATCCGAAGATCATTTCATGTCACAAGTAACTGAGTGACTTAGGAGTAATTCACCTTGGAAGAAGTTGAGCAACCTTAAGTATTTGAAGGGCTCTCGTTTGGAGAAGAAAATTGTTTTCTAGACCAGCTCTGTTCACAGAAATATGATGCAAGCCACATAGGTAATTTTACATTTACTAGCAGTCACAATTAAATTTTAAAAATTAAAAGAAACAAATGATGTTAATTTTAAGCATAGATTTTCTTTTATCCAGTATAATTTCTATACATAATATTAAAATTATTATTTCATGTTCTTTTAGGGGAACTCAGTCTTTGAAATCTAAAATATGATTTCAAGTTGGAATGGATATGAAGAAGTTATTACTGAGTCACATTCTACTGTTGTTATTGTTTTTTAGAATATCAAGTCTTTAAGATCTGATGTGTCTGTCAAATACTCAATATCTGGCCACTGTTCACATTTCTTGAGAACTCTGGTGGCCTAGTAGGAAAGAATTGCACAGCCAACCTAAAGGTGGACAGTTTGAATCCACGAGATGCTCTGTGAAGAAAGATGGGCAATCTCCTCCCATGCAGTTTACCATCTCTGAAAGCCCACTAGAGGGCCCACTGTGAGTCGGTGCTGGCTCTATGGCATAAACATCAGCCTTCACATAGTGGTAAGAAATCACACTACAATCCCAAAGACACATGGTTCAAATCTACCAGCTGCCCTGAGGGAGAGAGATGGGCAATCTCCGCCTGTGTGATTTACTGCCTCTGAAAACCCGCTGGAGGGTCAGCTGTGGATCAGTTCCAACTCAACAGCATACAGTAACAATATACTAGGCAGTGTGGGTCTAGAGGAAAAATTTGGAATGAGTGATAGATTCTTATAGAAAAATGTTAGCCCAGAGAAGGGCTGGGCATCCAGGAGGCTGTGCACCACTGGCTTTTAGCAGGCACAGCTACGAGGGGGGATTGGCTCAGATAATGGTTGGAAGCCGGTGGTTCTGAGGTCGCCCCTCTTGCATGTCTGTGTGAGGTGCCTCAGGCTTTTGCAAAGACTGTGTTCAGAACTCTTCATCCAGACTTGTCCAGGGCTCTTTTTGCCACCTCACACCGGATGGGAGTCTAGTTGTAGCCAAAGGAGGGGGTAGCAACTTCCTTCCTAGCACTTGGGCTCGACCCCTTGCTGCACCCCTGCGTCCCCCTGGAGCCTGTCTAATCACATCCAGGCCTGACCTCGCCAGAGGTCCTGAACTTGGAGGAAAGTGCCCCCTCCCCTCGCTGAGCTGCCCTGGATCTGACTCTCAGGAGACCCCTCCCCTAAGGGTGATTTATAGGGACATCAGGAGCCATTTCCTGCCTGTTTCTGGTCCCTTCCTGCCAGTGGATACAGGGCTTGCTCTCTGCACCTCTGTCTCCCTTCGGCCTGGCTGTACCTGGGGTGGGGGAAGGGAGACTCTGGGAGATTCCTTCCCAGATTGCTTGAGGACAAAGGTACTTTCTTCTGCTTTTCTCCAGCCCTGCCCCCAAGCAGGCCCTTGTCCTTTCTGCCCCTCACATCTGGAAGGCTTCCTTATTTCCTTCCCCCATCATCCTGCTTGAATGAGGGCTCCCACAGTTGCTTTCACCAGGCCAACAGGTGTCAAAAAAGAGCATCAAGTGTAAAAGGCCACAAGCCACAGCATCACCTTGGTACCCACCAGTCAAGAGGCAGAATACCAACACCAGCTTTGAACAGCTTTGTGCAGCTACTATAGCAACCAGTCTACACGGGCATCTACCACACAGTCACACAGGAGGAGTGATGACTTGTCTGGGATGCTCTAAGGTCCATGTGCATCCCTCAGCCTCTCAGGACCCTAGGTGAGACACAGTGAGGGGCAGACGTCCCCCGCCAAGAGTGACCTGCTAACACAAGCCAAGGACCAAATGTAGCTCACCCTTAGAGACTTGGAGGGGGCCGAAGCAGCCCCCAGATCCTTTATCTCCAAGGTCCTGAAGGAGAAATACTCTCTGGTGGCCTAGTGGTGAGGAGTTGAACTGCCAGTGCAAAGGCACGCAGTTTGAATCCACCAGCTGTTCCACAAGAGAAAGCTGGGCAGTCTCCTGTGTAGTTTACAGCCTCTGAAAACTCTGTAGGGTCAGTTCTGAGTCAGTTCCAGCTTGATGGCACATAACAACATGAATTGGGAGTAAGCAGAAAATCCCAGGAGGCCCAGATATGCTCAGTCACTGGATCCAGACAAGGGCCTGTCTGGGGAGGCGTCTGGGGAGTCAGCTGGAAGTCTCTAAGAGTAAGCTGTTCCACCCACTTCATTTTATGGTTGAAAAGACTGGTGCTCCCAGACACTACATGACTTCCCAGATGAATATGCAGGACTGGCCAAAGGGCTGGGGGGTGGCGAGGCTAGGAACTACCTCCCTAGGAAGAGGGACTTCCACATCTCTGGGTCTTTTTATCCTCCCCCCACCCCAACTAAAAACAAGATGCCAACTCCTGACTAGTCACCATTGGCTCTGAGGTGACAGCGTGAAAAATTGGAGGTTGAAGGGACACCCCAACAGAAGGCCTGCGACGTGGGACTCCTGATTCATGGTCAGGAAAACCACCAACCTCAGTTTCCCTCTTCTAAAATAAAAGGGGTTCTCACTGGGTTTGGTGCCAGTGGTCAAGCAAAAGGCTGCCCTTCCAATGAAATGTTCCGTAGAATGGCAGGAAGGAAAGCTGATAGAGAGGTACCGGAGTTGCCACTGTGCTGAGAAGGAGCTCAGCTGCATCTGAGGAGCTCCAGGGACCCCAGGACTCCCGGCTGTGCACTGTGTGAAGACTGTCAGCCTGCTAGGGGCACCTACAACTACTTCCAGCTGAGTCACGTTCTACTCTTGTTTGGTTTTAGGGGTGAGGAAGAGAGCTGTCCAGGCGAGACCAGCCTTTCTCTGTCCCCTGATAAAATGCAGCACCCTGATACGATGCAGCCTCTCTCTGCCTTGTCGCTTTCCCCAGGCCAACTCCTAGCTCCAGGGGCCTCCGGGGAGCCAGGAATGGGGGCTAGATGCACAAAAGGATTCAGTTCCTTAATGAGGAGGCATCTGTAGTCAGCAGAGCCATTAGTCCCCGCCCGGTCCCTGGGGGGCTTCCAGCTCCTCTCCAGCTGGAGTGGGGAGGGGGCAGGCAGCTCCCAGCTCCCAAATGGGCCAAGCCCCGGGGGCACAGCCTGCCTTGGGTGCCTTCTCCCATCAGTCTAGTCCACCACAAGGTTGAGGCCTGGAGGCAGGAGAGGGGCCTCAGTAGCACCTCAATCCCCTCCCTGTGGCCTTTGGACTGACCTGCAGAGTCTTAGCCAAACACAGACTGTGGCCTGAGCAGGCTGACCTCACAGGCTCCCTGGGGTCCTCACATTGGACCTGATGGGGCACCAGCTGGGGCACTTGTCCCCGCCTCCCCCGAGGCCCCGAGGCACTGGTCACGAGAGCTCTACCTGCTCAGAGATAAGCATGATTGATTGCACACAGAACCAAATCAGGCCTCAGCCGCGGGAGTCGACAGACCCACACCTCCATCCACAGCCAGCCCTGGTGGACACTCGGACCACGTCCATGCAGCCAGCCATCTTCCCAGCAAACACACAGGCCCGCACACACGTACAAAGAAGCACACACACCATCAGCCGTGCTCCCAGGAGGCCCTCAAAGAGAGGAGGCAGGGCGGGGGATTTTTATGCATGTTTATATTTAATGAACCACATGCAAATGAGATGGAGAACATGCCACAAAGGAGTCAGCCCCCAGAGGCTCTGGGTGGAGGGCCACAAAGGCACTGCCTTCGGAATAGGCAGGCAGGTTGAGGGGGCCTGAAACCAGGCATGGGGGCTGCGGTGGGCTGCTCGCCCACAGCCAGAACGGGACAGGCTCCAGGGGCCCTGCTGTGGGGTGGGGCAGGGAGGGCACCTTATGGGAGGGGAGCAACTGTCCCAGTTGATGGAGTGTCTATGGGGAGGGGGCTGCCTGCCCGGACAGATGGTAAACCGCCTTCCTGCACTTGAAGCAAAGTGGATTTTAATGAAATCGTAGCTCTGGTGCTGAAGCTGGGAACCAGTGTGGGAGGGGCCGCTTCCCAGGCCTTACAGGGTGGGCCTTGTGGGCAGGCTGCAGTCAGGGGATGCAGGTATGCTTAGCCAGCCAAAGAAAACAGAGGCTTGAGGAGCGGGGGCAGTGTGGCAGTGTCCACCACAGCCCCTCTGCACAGGCCTCTCAGGGCAAGAGTTCAAGGGGTTAGATCAGACCCCCAAAAGATGGGGAGGGACCCTGAATATTTATGACACTTTGAAATGCAGATTGGTAGCTCTGAGTCTTCTGAGAGACTACTCACCTTGGGTGGTTCAGCACCCTCGCAGGGGGCAGATGGAGAAACAGAGATCTTGAGAAGGGACAGAAGGACCCTGCCTGGGGTCTGACCACCCCTGTTCCTGCTGGGTGACAGTTTTCAATGCCCATCTCTGGGTGTCAGTTTCCATTTCTAGAAAATGTTGAACATGGCGCTTAGGTCTGAGATAAAAGAAGTTTATAAAAGGAGGGAGGAATCAAAAAAGTGAGAAATTAGGATTAGAAATTTCTCAGACTGGACTTTAAGGGTCAGCTTTGGGGTGTTGAAGTTGTTTCAAGATTTCTTCGTTCGAAGTCTGCTACCTAGCAATTTAATCAAACTTTGCTCAACTTGACCAACCCGGCCTCTGCTTCAGGGGGAGATGTTTCAGGGCTGAGCCCTCTGTGCCACCTCAGGACACTACTCTGTGAGTCAGCTGCACTTCACCCTCTCCCGTTAGTCGTGTGCACTTTGACAGGCCAGGTGCCTTTCCAACACGTCTTTTCTTCTGCAGCCATGTCGGACTTCCACGTGCACCCTCAGGCCACTGTGGGAGAGGAGGGTGGTGTGGCCCGATTCCAGTGCCAAATCCATGGGCTTCCCAAACCCTTGATCACATGGGAGAAGAACCGCGTCCCAATTGACACGGACAATGAGCGGTGAGCCAGGAGGGGGTGGGGGAGGAGGAGGGGACTGGTGTCCAGTAGCCTGAGATACTGGTTCTTCTGGACCTCGTGTGGGCGTCACACGGCTTTGAGGCCCAACCTGTGTGCCCACAGAGAGTCTTTGAGAAGGATGGAGAGGAGGGGTGGGGGCTGGGGTGTCCACTGATGAGAGTCCCTGGTGTGTCTGTAATGACGCCTTTGACATTGGGATAGGCCTGGGTCTGACGGGCTTAGAGTGCCCGTGGTTGTGCCCTCTCCCCCCAACAGGTACACCTTGCTGCCCAAAGGGGTCCTGCAGATCACAGGGCTTCGGGCTGAGGACAGCGGCATCTTCCACTGCGTGGCCTCCAACATCGCCAGCGTCCGGGTCAGCCACGGTGCCAGGCTCACCGTGTCAGGTGAGTGACTTTTGTCCTGCCCAGTATGACCTCCCCCCCCCCAGACACCCAACTGGCTTCCTAACTCCTTCCCAGCTTCAAATCTGGCCTCTGGCAGCTTGGTCAGGTACTAATGCATGAAGCTCCACCTCTGGAGGTGGGGGCTGCCTCTCCAGGTGGGGAGCTGAGCCACGGTCCCTGTCTCCACTCTGCAGAGCAGCTCGCCCTGAGCTTCTCTCTGGGACCTTCACCATAGGTGGCTGCCCTAGCTCTGGTTCTGACTCATAGTGACCCAGCGAACAACAGAACTAAATGCTGTCTGGCCCCCATTGTTGTTGTTGTGTGTTGTCAAGTCAGAACTGACCCATAGCTGACCCTCCAGCAGGTTTTCAGAGGTAGTTAATTGCCTATCTTTCTCCCTTGGAGAAGCTGATGGATTTGAGCCCTATGCCTTGCAATTTCTTAGTACTAGACTACCAGAACCCACATTGCTAAAAGGAACCCTGTTGGCCTACTGGTTAAGGGCTCAACTATGAGCCAGACTCTCACCTTATGGTTCCCGGGAAGAAAGACCTGGCCATCTGCTTCCATAAATTTACAGCCTAGGAAACGCTATGAAACAGCTCAACTTGGGGGCACCTAGCATTAGAGGTCCTGATGAGCCAGGAGTAGAAGGTTGGCTGTGTGGAGTGGTCCGGGCATCACCTACCCCTCAATACGTCCTGGGTGGTAGGTGCAGTGATGGGTGGTAAGACGCCCAGCTGAAATGAGGTATCCCCACCAGGCTCGGGCTCTGGGGCCTACAAGGAGCCCACCATCCTCGTGGGGCCTGAGAACCTCACCCTGACGGTGCACCAGACCGCTGTGCTCGAGTGTGTCGCCACGGGCAACCCTCGCCCCATTGTGTCCTGGAGCCGCCTGGGTAAGCCTCACCCTGCAGCTCCTGCCTCTCCCAGCCCCATCCCACCCCGTGGGAGGGTCTTCTCCTCACCCAGCTCTGGAGAGACTTTGAATCCTGTTTGTTCTCTGTGGGAGTCTGTCTTCTGCAGGCTGGGGAGGGGTGTGCTCCCTGCTACTTAGAAGGACAGGGAGGGCGGCCTGCCCACAAAATTCTCCCTCCCCCTGTTAGGGATGGCTTAGCTCCCTGGGTTACTCCCTCACCCCAGAACCAAGCTCTCCAGAACCCGTTGCTTAGCCTCTCCTTGGCCACCCTGCCCACTCTACCTGGTCATACTTCCCATCGCACAATCCCCTGCCCCCCAAAAAAATCTCAGGTGGTCAAGTCTCCCTCCAGGCCCCCCCAGTCTCTGCCCTGGCCCCCTAAGTTCCCCAGCCAAAGTCCCTCGGCAGCTGAAGAGAAGTGAAAGGGTGCAGATGGGCTCACATTGTCTGAGTGGAAAGGTCACGTAGGGGAAGGAAATTCTGGAGGGGGTGGGGTGGGGTCGCATTCAGGAGGAGACTGAACCACATTGTCGCAGCTGAGTGATTGAGGAAGGAGGGGGCAGCAGGCAGGATAATGGAGTAGATTTCACCACTTCAGTCCCTGAATGGGGAGCTGTCTCCTTGTATTTGGTCTGTGCTAATCTGATTCTGGAGTTAGGGGGAGGGCCCTGGTCCCTGGGAGAGGCTGGGAAGAATGGCCGCCAGGCACTGTGAGGACCATCTGGTCCCAGTTTCCCAAAGTAAGCGCATCAGGGAGGAAGGATTGGCCTGGTGGGCTGACATGTTTGGGGAACAAAGTTAGACTGATCTTCCCGTGGCCCTTCCCAGTCTCTGTACTGATAGGCATTGTAACAGTCCACAAGGGGGGGGCGTGTGTGGATATTTGACTGTGAACTTGTTTTTCAAGAGTAAGAAACCGGGTTGAGAAATGTTGATCAAATCCAACGTTATGATGAAAACAGAAGGGAAGAGATATGAAGGTCACTGGAGTCATTGGCCATGCAAGAATCAGGACGTGGCTTTCTGTCCACCAGGCCAGACTTTGCTGTGTTCTGTTACCTCTCCAGAGATGGAGGTGCAGTTAAAGATTGGGGAATCTTTCATGCAATAGTGAATGCTCTAGAGTGTTCTGGAATGTTCTTTGTATCTCTCTGGCCTGTTCTTATTCCTTCATTTCCTCCTCAGATGGCCGTCCCATCGGGGTGGAGGGCATCCAGGTACTGGGCACAGGGAACCTCATCATCTCGGACGTGACCGTCCAGCACTCGGGCGTTTATGTTTGTGCAGCCAACCGGCCTGGAACCCGAGTGAGAAGGACGGCACAAGGCCGCCTGGTGGTGCAAGGTACAGACCGTGCCCTCTCCAGTGGGGAAAGGGAAGGGGCTTCCACAGAGCCCCTTCCTCTGGTTCCATTCCTTGTCATTAATATTCCCGGTCAAGCCCAGCCCCCTGAAACTAAAAGCCCATTACTGTTATCTCTCTTCTGTCTCATTGGCCTTTAGAACGGACTAGAAATATCCCATAGGGTTTCTGAGACTGTACATTTTTAGAGAAGCAGATTGCCACATATTTTTCCTGTGGAGTAGCTGGTAGATTTAAACCACTGACGTCTTGGTCATCAGCTGAGAACTTTAACCACTGTGCCATTAGAGCTTCCTCTACCTCTACCCAGTCAGTACCCTTGTTTCTCTTACTCACCGCATCCCTAGCCCCCTCCTCTCCCCAGCTCTTGCCCCCAGGCCAGGCAATGGCAGTTCTCCCCCAGGAACGAGTGTATTTGGGGTGGGAGGATATTCTCGGTTTCTGACCCTTTTATGTCCCCACCCTCACCTCCACTGAGACTCTTTTCCACTCTGTAATCTTTGCTGTGTCACTCGCTCGTGTCCCTGGCCCCAGGTGCTGTTTTCATTCACACATGTGGCACTTTCACACTCACACCTGCTTGTTTGTCACGTTCACGCTCACACAGCCCAGTCTGCGCCTCAGCCCTCTCCCCTCACTGGGGCCTCTGGTCCCAGCCACCCCCTGCCCTGGGGCCCCACTGCCCACAGAGCTGGGCGTGGGGCTCAGTTTTCAGAGTTTTCCTGGGAGCAGGGCAGGGGCTGGAGATGGGAGGATTAGGAATTTAAATGCCCGTTTGTTTAGCATTCCATGTGCCCTTAATCTGTCCAAATGAAAGTGATGGAGCATTTCATTTCTCGGGTATTAATGGAGGCTGGAGGCCTGGGATTGGTGGAAAAAGGAATTGAATGTGAGGGTGAGGGAGGCCGGGATGGAGGGCTCATCCATCTCCCCGTCATTATAGCCTTCGAGGTGCAGCCAAACCTATTAGCACATTTATTTATTTAACAATTTCCTGAACAGGGAGCACAGCTTGATTGCTTTCGGATACAAATGTCAGTCTTTTAAATAGTCATTAAAATGGAATCCTCTCTTGGGTCTTCCTGGGGAAGAGGGACTTAGGCCTGCAGCCTGGGCAGGGGTGGAGGGTACACCCCACTGGAAGGATTCTTCAGGGGTGTATGTGTGTCCAGGGCCCCACCTCATCCTCTGAGGACCTTCATCCTTTCAATCACAGCCATCTCTGTCCTCTATCTGATCCTCATGACCTCATGCTTCTCTGTTCCCCCCATCACCAGCCCCAGCAGAGTTCGTTCAGCACCCCCAGTCCATCTCCAGGCCAGCTGGGACCACAGCCATGTTCACCTGCCAGGCTCAGGGGGAGCCGCCCCCTCATGTCACGTGGTTGAAGAATGGGCAGGTGCTGGGGCCAGGAGGCCACGTCAGGCTCAAGAACAACAACAGGTACATACATGCGGGGGGACACATGTGTGCACCTGCATGTGTGTGCAGGCTGAGGACCGGCTTGAGGTGGCCAGGGCCTGGCACATGGGTCCTCAGCGGACTGTTGCACTCCCCTCCCAGAAGGCACCGCCCTGGGAGACTGGGGAGGCTGGTGGTTTGCGTTTGAGCTCCAGCTCTGCCATTAACATGGTGGGCGACCTCAGACCAGTCACGTGTCTTCTGGGGGGGGGTCTCAGTTTCTCCTTTTTTCAAATGAGAAGATGGGGCCAACCTCTGGGCTTCCTCCCTCTCTCCCTGCAGCACACTGACCATTTCTGGGATTGGGCCCGAGGATGAGGCCATCTACCAGTGTGTGGCTGAGAACAGTGCGGGCTCCTCGCAGGCCAGTGCCAGGCTGACTGTGCTGTGGGCCGAGGGGCTGCCTGGGCCCCCCCGCAATGTGCGGGCAGTCTCCGTGTCATCCACAGAGGTCCGCGTGTCCTGGAGTGAGCCCCTGGTCAATACCAAGGAGATCATCGGCTATGTCCTGCACATCAGGAAGGCAGCTGGTGGGTGGGGACCTGCGGGGTGATGTGGATTCTGCGGCCCTGTCCCCACGTGCATGATTCCACACCCCTTTCTATCCTGTATGTCCTGACCCAGTGCCTTCCTCGCCTTCTCCCTGTGCACTGTGGCTGCCCTCCTTTCACCAGTCTCTGTCAGACTCCCTCGTGCCCCTTACACTCCTGTGCCACCTTTGCCTCCCCAGACCCACCAGAGTTAGAGTATCAGGAAGCGGTCAGCAAGAGCACCTTCCAGCACCTGGTGAGCGACCTGGAGCCATCCACGGCTTACAGCTTCTACATCAAAGCCTACACGCCAAGGGGGGCCAGCTCAGCCTCCATCCCCACCCTGGCCAGCACCCTGGGTGAAGGTGAGGCTGGAGTGTGGAGTTCAAACCACGGACACTCAGGGGAGAACAGCCCCGCCAAGCACACTTGTTCAGGCTGTGCACTGCACAAGGGGTCTAGCCCTGAGGATGGGACAGGATGGGTCTATTCATGTGAAAATTCCATGTGAACAAGTGGTGGCAGAGGGTCTGAGGCAGAGAGCTGTCAGACTCCTAGGGGGCTGATTGAAAGGTAAAGGCTTCCCCTGAGTCTTCACATTTTGACTCCTTCTCTGCCCGCAGCCCCTGCCCCACCCCCATTGTCAGTGAGAGTCCTGGGCACCTCCTCGCTGCAGCTGCTCTGGGAGCCTTGGCCCCGACTGGCTCAACATGAGGGAGGCTTCAAGCTGTTTTACCGGCCAGCGAGCAAGGCCTCCTTCACAGGCCCCATCCTGCTGCCTGGAACGGTGTCCTCCTACAACCTCAGCCAGCTTGGTGAGGCAGCCACAGCCCAGAGCTTGGGACGAGGGCAAGGGTGCAGTGCCCGGGGGATGGTGTGCAGGACAGAGCCCTGTGGTGGGGCAGTGACGGTCACTCAGTAACTCTGCCTGCCCCCAGATCCCACTGTGGTCTACGAAGTCAAGCTGCTCGCCTATAACCAGCACGGCGATGGCAACGCCACAGTCCGCTTCGTGTCTTTGAGGGGAGCATCTGAGAGAACAGGTGAGGGACGGAGGAGGACAGGGTGTGAGACCAGGGATAGTGGATATTGGCACTTAGAAAAGTGAGGGGCTGCAGGGACTGGAGAGCAGGAATCCAGGGGAGGGAGGTGGTAGAACACTGCAGTCCCAAGAACTTGGGCTCAGACTTGACTCTGAAGCTTGATGCTCATGTGTGGTCTTGAGACAGTTCTCAGATGTCACTGAGCCTTGCCTTTCTCTATGAATTAGGGACAGTAGTTACTGAATTAGAGTTTTGATGAGGATTAAATGGCTGTTCATAGTGCTTAGCTGTTGAAACTGGTACAAACCATTATACAGTAAACAGTTAAAAGTACATGATGAGTAAACTGGTGCAGCTTCTGGGATTATAACCCTTAGCTACCCTTTGAGCTGAAACAAAACTCACCTTTCCAGCAAAACAGACCAGTAACATGAACAACAAAAACACCATGGAGTTTCTCAGTCCTTAGAATAATCAAACAAGATCAGAAAGGAGGCACTTGCCCAGGGATAAAGCTCAGAAAGCAGGAAGGAGAAGGATATGAGGATGAATGGAAATGAGAATCATAAGGAGGGAACAGGAAATGACAACGTGAGAATTGTAATTAATGTCATAAAACAAGATACCTTTGAATGGTTGAGTGGAAAACTAATTTAAAAATATGAATAGTAAAAAGTTAGGGCTAAGTGAGTGGTAAAAAGGACCAAGGAGATTGGGCTGGGTCTATATAGACAAGAGTGAAGGGTGGGTTTGTCGACTTGGGAGTGAGAGAAGCTGAGAGAGAAGGAGCTCTCAGAACCTGGGCACCTGGGAGAGAGGTTCTGGCCAGAAGAACCGTAGCCCCAACTTGTCCTGCCCACTCCTCAACCCCAGCCCTGAGCCCACCGTGTGACTGCCGGAAGGAGGAGGCCACCAATCAGACGTCCACCACGGGCATCATCATTGGTATTCACATCGGGGTCACCTGCATCATCTTCTGTGTTCTCTTCCTCTTATTCGGCCAAAGGGGCAGGTGCGTGCTGAGTTAGGAGGGGAGGGTGTAGGGGAGTCAGGGGGAGGGAGTCTCGCTTTCTGTCCTTTGTCTTCATCCTGTGGCTCATACTCTCTCCTTTTATTTTTTTTTTAACTTTGTGTTGTATACAGTCACTCATATCTATTATCTTTTGTATCATTAATTACCATTTCTCTTTGCCTGTTATCACTCTACTGTTTCAAGTCTCTATTGAACATTTCCCGGTCCTTTACCCGTCCTGCAACTACCAGCCTCTGCTACCCCAGTGACTTTTACCCTTTCCCCCTTTAGTTTTTTGGCACCTTTTGAACTTTTTTTATACATGTCTTTTTCAGATACCCTCCTGTTATCAGAATAGAGGCCTTATGCAGTATTTGCCCTTATGTGACTGAGATAATTGATGTGGAGTGAAATATCTACCTCTTGACTCACCCCTCAGGGTCCTCTTGTGTAAGGACGTAGAAAACCGGCTGTCCCCACCTCAGGGTCCTCGGAGCCACAGAGATCCTGGCATCCTGGCTCTGAACAGGGTCACGCAGGGAGAGCGGGGCCAGCGGGGCCGGGATGAGAACGTAAAGGAGCTGGAGCAGCTGTTCCCTGCAGCTCGGGGGGCTAGGCAGCCAGACCCCAGACCCACGGTGAGCACCCACACTGCGAGCAAACTTCTGTGACCACAGCCTCACCTCAACCTGGATCCCTTCAGCCAAATCCATACATCCTTCGGTGGGTCTCTGTACACCCCCTGGACCAACTGTTGACACCTCTGTAATAGCCTTGCCTTTCCTCCATCAGGATCCTGTGGGCCCTGCCCCCTGTGAGGAGACTCAGTTCTCCAAGCTGCCTCTGCAGGAGCTCAACCACCTGGAGGAGACAGTGCTGGAGGCTGGAGCCCCCTGTGCAGGTCCTATGGCTGCCACATCGCCCCAGGATGCAGGCCCCGGACCCCTCGGTGAAAGATAGCCTGCCAGGCTTTTGTGGCACCAGCTGCCCAGCCAGCTCACTTGGGACAGTGCCTGGTGTCTGGCAGGCGCTGGAGGAGGCAGACCCTCATTCTCAGGTCAAAAGCTAGATTTCTCCTGTTCTGTGGGCTATGGAGGGCTCCTAGCATGTTCTCTCAATTGCCCTTCAAGTTATCCAGACCTAAGGCAGCCTGGCAGGAGTCTCCAAGGAGCTGAAGGGGGTCCTGGCAGAAGCCCCTCCCCAGGGGCTAATTTCCCTCTCAGCCCTGCCAGGTACTCATATGACTTGGCACTGAACTGATGTTTTCCTTTAACAAACAAATTTTAAAATCAGAAGAGAGAGAGAGAGAGAGAAGAAAGAGGAAGGTGAATTAGACTCCAAAAATGTGCCCTGCCCTGGCTGGGCCCCTGACACTGTCACCCTGCACCGACCTTGTTTTCTCAGGATGGATTTTTGCCCTTTGGCTCTCAGCACCTACCTCAGCCGAAATGAATGTCTTGGGGGAAGGGGCTGGAGCCGCAGCCCCCCCACCCCACAGAGCCCCAAATGCACTCCTACCTCACGCCCCCTTTATGGGCACCCCTGCTCCCTCCTCACATTGTTATCCAGATGTTTAGAAAAAGAAAAGGAAAAAAACAAAAACCTTCCCCATTTCTAGGTGTGAAAGCAAAACTTCTACCTCAAGGCTCACATTGCGGGCCTGTGTTGTGTCACTGGACCCTCCCTCCTGGGCCCCCCATGCCCCTCCTCCGCCTCCTGTCGCCCCACTGGCCCCTCCCCAGAGAGCAGGCCTGAGGCTACTACATCACCACACAGAACTCTCAGGGCCTACAGAAATAAGTGGAATTGGTCAAAGAGAAAATGTGAAAAAAAGCCAAAAATGAGGAAATGTGCTCCTCAGAGTATATAAATTGTTGCCCTCCACTAGCCACCTCTTCACACACTGCTCATGTGTCCCCTTTCTATCCCATTGTCACCCTCTCAGCTCCATTTCCACAACCCTCTGCCCACCTGGGCCTTGAGGAGGTAGAAGGTCCCCCAAACCCACAGCCTGCTTATGCCTTACTCAGATGCTGAGCCCCTGGCTGGCAGGCAGGCTGGTCCCTGGAATGTAGAGAGTGTGTGTGTGTGTGTGTGTGTGTGTGTGTGTGTGTGTGTGTGTGTGTGTGTGTGTGTGTGTGTGAGAGAGAGAGAGAGAGAGAGAGAGGGAGGGAGGGGGGGAGACAGGCATGTGCGTGGTGGGTGCACACCACCCACTGGACCCACCCTCCGGACAGTGAAATGCACTCTGTCCACAAATGTGGCCGGAAGCTATTTTTATACGAGGTGTGTTGTCTAAGGGTTATGTCCATGTGACTTTTTGTTTCTCTTTTCTGTTGTGTTGTTCTTTTAAATAGTTAAAGAAGAGAAAAACCAAGGAAACAAATGCCTATTTTTGGTTACACTGAGGAACATTTTTTTAAATGGCAAAAACTTTTTTTTTTAAAAAAAAAAAGGGTATTCCTTAAGTATGTACCCTTAAGTATAAGATTAGATAATAACTCTGAACCCCCATCCCTCTAGGGACACCTCACCCCCAACTTTAGTTAATTAGCTGAAGAAGGTAGAACTTGTGGTGTTTTCCTAGAGACTAGAGTTGTGTCCCTGTTGTCTTGGCAGGGGGGTGGGGGTAGGCCCTTCCCTTCTCCCAAATGATAAGGGCACCTCAAACCTAAGAGCTGTGCCCCTCTGCGGCTTCTCTATACAACCCCCTGTGATCCTAGAGACCCCCTCTCTAGGGAAGGGTAAATCTAGGGGCAAAAGGGGATGGCAGGGCCACCTGACCTAACTTGGGTTTGTTACACTCCACTCATGCTGACTGAATAAAAGTCCGTTGCCAAAGTGAACCTCGTTTTGTGGGGTGTGTGTGTATGTGTCAATTTCTAAGGGAGGGTAGGGGTGCTGTAACCAGGAGAGTGGGAATGCTAGGCAAGTCCCATCACCTCTCCCCAGAGAACAGGTAAGACTTAACAGAATTAAAGATGGAGTTGGTCAAAGCGAAAATGTGAAGGAAAGAAAAGAAGTCCGAACATAAGAAAAACAGATTCCTCATAAATTGTGGCCCCGTATTTACTATTTTAGAGTATTTGCACTTGCCTGTCCCCATTTTGACCCTCAGCCAAACCCATCCTTCCTCCAGATTCCAGCAGCCCTCGCAGAGGCAGGGCCCTTGCAAACCTAACAGCAGGACACTTTACTCTGCTTACAGGCCTCAAGCCTGGTCTTCTCAACATGCCATGTGCTTGGCCTTGCCAAGTCCTCACATCCTCCCCATGAGGCAGAGGAAAGGGTGAGAAATGGGAGTAAACATCTAAAGTCTCACACAGCCTGTTAGTGACGGGCTCAGAGTTTTAATCCAGGCAGCTTCTTCCAAGATGTGTGTCTCCTTGGAGGATAACATGAGAAATTCAAAGTCCAGTGCCCTCAGCTTGGAAAGGATTCACCTGGACTCCTGCGCTTTCTCCTAATGCCATCATTGCTGTAAGCTTTTTGGTTTACAGCCAGGAATTTACCACTGAGCCACTTAGGGACTCCCTATTCTAAGAGGAAGAACTCTTTTCCTCTCCATTTCACAGTGGGGGAAACAGGTTCTGACTAAGTGACTTTTTCAGGTCACGTAGCCAGGACCTAAGGTCACGCCTGTCTGTTGCTCCACCGTGTACTCTTCTCAATCCAGGGACTGTGGAAGCTGTGTGTGTGTGGGGACTGCCAAAGCTTAGGACAGACCAGATGGATTTAGCTTCATGGAAGTTGTACTGGCAAAGATCTGGAGATCTTAGCTGACCTCAAGCTTGATAGAAGCAAACAATTTGATACAGGGTTTTTTCCAGAATGTCCATGCCCCTTCTGCTATTGAGGAGGAAGACTAGGGTCCTCATAGACTCCATGTCATGGGGGCCAGGTTCTGTACTCAGAGCCACATTTTGAAAGGAGTAAACTGTCATGGTGGTTTTCAAACTCAGTTCTCTAACTATAGCCAGGGCCAAAGGAGAACCTTTAAGTTGTAGCTCCTGACTCCGGGCTCATCAATATCCAGAGCTGCTCCACTTTTTTCTCATATTTGCTTGATTTTGTGGGATTTTGTTTAAAAACAGGGTTCTGCATCTAAAAGAAAATTTGACAACCCCTGTCTGTTACTCTGGAAGGTTCTAAGGCTGACTGGGTTCTGAGTTTGAGTGGAGATTGGGGAGAGTCAAGTTCCTTTGACTTCCTAGAGGAAAACTATGCCCAACTATAGACATTACACATTACCGCTTATATATTTATGTGGAGCTGTGCATACAGGAATTTATAAACTACCCCAGTCATCCAGGAGCTGCCTAAGGTGGGGGTGATGGGTTTGTCAGATCTCAAAGGTGGTAAGAGGATAGACCAGGTGACCATTGGTGGCGCTGTCTTGTCTAAGGGTCTAGAATGCTAGTATCTCCCCAGGAGGCATCTGGAGACCACTTGAAAGCGGTCCATGTTGATGTAGGCAAATTGCACACAAATCACATGTAAGCAGGGTTTATTCTAACATTACGCCACCCTGAGCCCAGGTAAAGCAGCAGAGAAGCAGGGCTCCCACGGACAAGGGCCAAGTAGTCTGCTTGCAGTCTGAATCGTGACATCTCAAAACAGAGCCCTAAGGCTGCAGAACCCTCTGTCCTCGTGTATGTGCAGAAATCAGCTTTCAGGGCTTGGAATCTCTCCTTAGGATCTGTTTCTCTGGACCAAAGCACCTTAACACTGTGATTCAGCAGAGTGTCGTTTTGCTTATTTTGGACATTGCTCAGTGGTGACAGCTGCCTTCTTCCTGTGAGCCGGGTGGACGGAGCTCTGAAAGGTTCACTCATTGGCCTGGTGACTGCTTCTGGCCGTCAGCTGGCTGTGGCCTGAGACCTGAGCCATCACTGTCCACCTGTGTGTGGCTTCTCCCGTGGCTTGGACTTCCTCCCAGCATGGCGGCTGGGGGCCCCCCACCCCCAGCAACTACTGAGAGGGAAAATTGCACCATTCGTTTTGTTTAACCCGGCCTTGGACATCACAGTGTACCTGCTGCCCGGATCTACTCACAGGAAGTCAGTCACTAAGACTGACCATATTCAAGGGGAGAGGAATTAGATTCCACCTTTTAAGGGAAGAAAAATTGGAGAACTCTAAGTACCACAGGCCATTTAGGAGCGACAGGTGGAGACCGAAATGGGAACCTGAGGAGCACAAGTGCTCCCCCCAGTGGCACAAGGGATGTGTACAGGAGGGTGCACCCAGCTCCTACCTCAAATCCTGCAAGTGGGTCTCATCACTGTAACTAGTGAATTTTGCCGCAGGGTCTGGTCTTGAGTCCACAGAGGAGCAGGACGTTCATTTGCCATTACAGCAAGAGGTGAGGCGCCTGGGGTGACCTGTGCAAGCCTGAGATCCTACAGCTTAGTGACAGAGCTGGAAGGAACTGTAGACCCCTCAGAAGTTAGATAAGGAAACAGGAGGGGAACAAGTTGGTCAAGGTCACAGACAAGTTAGAGACAGCAGCGCCAGGACAGCCACACCCCACCTGGGGCCCTTTCCACTTGACAGGCTCCACCTAACAGGCCCCACTGAGTCCTGCCAACATGAGACCCTCAGAACCTGCCTGAGCCCCAGGATACTTGGGAAGGGAGGAAGAGTGGGGCCCTGGGGGTGTGGATGTGGAAGGGTGGCTGGGACCTGGACAGGGGGGAGAGGGGGGGTGGAAACAGAGAACAGGCCCAGGGCCTGTCCTCAACTCTGCCCTGGCTACAGAGAGGGAGGAGGACACGGACACCCACGATCCCCCCACAGAAAGATATTAAGGGGACTGATTTGCAGGTAATTGGTGCTCCAGGTCCTTATGGAGCCATTTCAGGGCAAAGAAAGAGAAAGCTGAGGAGAGGGCAGTCCGAGATGGATGCATACCGAACTCTGAGCTTGCAAGGATGTGAGTAGCTATCAGCCCACTGCCA